ATCAACTAATCAATCAACTAATAAATCAACCAATCAACTAATCAATCAATCAATCAATCAACTAATCAATCAATCGACCAATCAATCAATCAATCAATCAACTAATCAATCAATCAATCAACTCACCCTTGCTGCTCGATAAGCACCCTGTTGCAATAGCAACCTGTATAACCTGTGCAAGTCTATCAATTGCTAAGTTAATATCCCATGATTTCTGSATGCCATCGCAGTGTTGTTCCTCTTTGTTCAATGTATCAACCATGTTCATCAAAGTGGCAGACAGGCGTTTTAGATCATCACTGTTTAGCAGATGTCTGAGCATGTCTGATTCATCCATCACTTCTCCTGGCTCAAGCTCCATTTCATCTTTAGGATTACGCTTACTCTGACCTGATGAAAAATTGAAATATTAATACATGCAGTTGTGATGTTACTAATGATGATGATGGAAAAAATGATGATGAGTGATCCAGATTGACTTTACAATTTACAATTATAGTCAATTCTTGCCTTGCAACACCCCATCATTAATATATGCCTGCTTAAAAAAGATGCTGAAAACTCCCTTTATAGTTAAACACTTGATATTGTGGACAATAAATTATTATTCCAAGGGTGTTTCATTGTGACTTCACTATATTACAAAAGACCAAGAGCAACAAAAAACAACAACAACAACAACAACAACAACAACAACAACAACAACAACAACAACAACAAAAACAACAAAGAACCATACAGTAAAAAAAAAACAAAGAAAATGAGAAGAACAAGAAATACCTGACATGACCAATGCCTGAAGTACACCAAGGTGAAGCTCTGAATAAGCATGTTTAGACTCTGTTGATGAGCATCTTATCAATGGTTGTAACACTGTCCACTGCACCAGGCCATGTACAGGGCAGAGTGGTAATGGCACTACACCTTCAGTTGAAGACGGAGAATTGTGTAGAGATGGGAGTGTTATAAGAGTTCTGTTGGGTTTTATTAGACAGACTGATGGGTCTTGACTGATCCATTTYACAGCTACTTTCAAAGCTGATAAAGATGGACAACAAGAGGTTGAAGAATGATCTAGGGTAAAAAATTGAGAATAAGAAATGGTGCCTTTCAATGTAACAATTTTGATTCACACTAAAACATAAGCAGAAACAGAAGCAGAAGGGAATTTTCTACGTGAGAGCTGGAGACAACATAAGCACATGCAGAAACATAAGAAAATGAAAACTTTTCCTTGTGATTTTAGTTCTGATTGTGTTGAAAAATTATCAGTGTGAACAGTCTAAATAGGGGGGAGTGACCTGGGAACAAACGTCCTAACGGCTGCGAGAGGAGACTATCTAAACATAAGCTCATTCTTATGTTATACATATGTAGTATGAACAAGCTTCTGTTTCTGTTTAGGTTACAGTGTGGACAAGACCTTAACAGTTCCATTCTACAGTTTACAGTAACTACCGGTACCTTGTTCTGTATTACCAGGAATCATTGTAAATTTACTGGTCAATATAACCAGCATTTGACAGGCAAACTGAGGTGATATGGATGACACTGCTTCTAAAAATGRTAACGACAGCGGAACTATGTTTGTATACTCATTAATGATTGCCATGGTTACACGGACAACAACTTCTGATGCTTGACGATGTTTCTGGCAAGAACAAATTAATAAATCYAATATCATGCAAACGYATTCAAGGAATGTCATTGATTTATTAWATGAAAGACATTCATGTAAATTCGACAGTTTCAGTATACCTGGATCCATAGAGCCATGCAGTCTAATACATGTCCATTTTTAAGAGCAATTGCCATGGATACCAACTTGGTGAGCAGATCTATTCGACTGTTGAACTATAATAATAAAAATGTGTGCATCATTTCTGTTGAGATGTACCTACATATGCACATACACGCACTTACCTTGCTTTCTTTCTGCTCTTGATTAGAAAAACTATAAAGCATGTCAAAAACACACCATCTCACAAAATCGCTCTTCTGGCCTTGAAAATACCGACACATCACTTCYAAAAGCCGAAGTTCTTCCAAGGAACTCACGCGCATTGCTGTGTTGTGCAACAAGTAGTTGTCTATCAACTCGCTAATAAACGCAGACACGAATAACGCAGGGCTTTGGAGACTTTCAGGGCTGCTTGATTCGTATAATTTACCGATTATATGAAGAACTTGTCGACAGCAGTTTGGAAACGAAGCACAACTCATGAATTGCTTAACGTACTGGATTTTGTTGGAAATGTCGCTCTTCCAAGATGATATATCTAGAGGTATAGTTCACATGATCAATATATATATAGCAAAATGTTGAACTCAATTGTTATACTAACTCCAGATATCATCTTCCGCGTTGTCAACACTCATTTTCTACGGTATTTTTTAAAAACAATCTTGAAAGTTGTATTCATGACTCCATGTTGTCCGCCATTTTGAAATAAGCATCCGAGCCGTTTTAAAAACACAGGTAGCCCATAAAGTTAGACCAAATAGTTCAAGGGTCTCAATGGGGTTGATCGYGAGCTGTGAAACGGCTGAAAGATTAGCCGTGAGTCGTGAAAATGCGAAAAATTAGCCGTGTGGCGTGAATATTTTTTTGTAGCGTGAGCCGTGATTCAGTTTTGTCCCTCAGAAGGACAGTCAACTCCAGGCGCGCGCTTGTAATTTTTTTTTTGGTAAATTTAAAAAATATAAGCTTTAGTGGAGATTTTTCAAAAATTATATGTGCGGGAGTCAAAATAATTCACCAAAATCACAGTAAAATGTAAATACAGTCTAATCAAAGATACTTTACTGTATTTAGGTGTAGATWGTCTTMCTTTTGACCAAATTCAGTTGACTCTGGACGAACTCCCGGACAGAATGTSACGAAAAATTATATGTCCGGGAGTCAAAATAATTCACCAAAATCACAGTAAAATGTAAAAGAATTTCAAGAGATTTTTGTCGTGATTTTTATCCGAATACTAGTAATGCATTTCTGATATAAGAACTGTAAAACTAATTTAAAATGTGATGATTTGGACAACAATAACGACAATTGAACAGCTTGGTGAAAACCGTCACATTTCACCGAACATCGGTATTCGCCGCAAACTACCACTCAGCACCCATCCCACCCCACCCCCGTCAAATAATAAATCTACTGAAGAATGATTATGAAAAACCTGTATCGTTTGCTAATTCCTGAGCTGAGCTCTGATTGGCTCGCTATTCCCTTTGGATTTTGGTGACGTCATATATTAGCATAGAACTTCACCGAATAGACTACCCCAATTAGATATTAGATATCTATAAGTGTCTTCATAGTACGGTGGTCT